ACTGCGGATGGCGAGAAGCTTCTTGCTCAGCACACAGATGGCAGCGACGTCCCCGCGTGGGTGCGTGCACCACTGATGCTGCTGGTGCTGGCCTGTGTGGCCGTATATTAAGACTTCTGTGTGTGTGTGTGTCTCTGTTCTTGGGACGATGATGCTCCCGCCGTAATTGCGCTGAGTGCTGAGGACTGCACTCCTGATTGTTAAGGTTCTTTTGTTTTCGTTTCATTGCTGTCCCGTTGTGGCCGTGGAGCCGCTCTATTAACCCTCGACGGTACATTCACTGTGCTCGATACCGTCGTTGGGAGGCGTCATTAACCCCTTATTTCCATTGCTTGGGCATTGCGTAGCACATGAGTATGCTTCGTCCCCCTTGCTGTGTGTGGGCCTCTCACACGAGGCGCATGGAGACAGTCAGACTTGTTTGCGTCCATGAATACACACATGCACAGGGGGAGTCGCCACCCCTGCGTTGTGGCTGCTTTCTCTTTTTTTGTTAAACATGGGATTGTTGGGGTTTTGTTTCCTGCGGGGTCTGTGCTTCTCCCGCCAACCGATTTCATCCTTAATTTGTTGTTTATTATTTGTGTGAATCATTCTCTTGGGGGCGCAGACTGAACTGCTGCTTCTCCCTCCTCCATTCCATGCGTGCTATCTTTTGTGTTTCTCTTTTCTCCCCCCTGCAGACCCCTCAGCTGCTCAAGCGATATTGAATGATGGCGACAGTGTGCCGCGTTGTGTGTGTGTTGGCCGCTGCTCTGTGCTGCACGGCCTTGTGCGTGGCTGCTGCTGCTGCTGCTGGTGAGATACCTCACACCGATGCGGAGATGCCCACAGCTGAAAAAGGTGTAGAAAAGAGGATTACTGAGAAAAAGGCGGAAGTGAAGAAAAGGCAGGGCATGGTTGATAGGGCGGTGAGAGGCGCTTTGGCCGCTGGAGATGCTCAGGCTGCACTGCAGATGGCGAAGGAAGCTCTGACGAAGGCCAAGCAGGAAGTGGAAGAGGCCATTAAGAATGCTGAAGCTGACGAAGGTATGGCTATGAGTTTTATGGATTCAGCTAAAGTGGTGGAAGCTGTGGTGAACTCACTGAAGGGACGCGTGGGACAAACCGTAAGCACGCCGACGGCTTCACCAGCAGGTACAAAGGGACCAAGTGCAGAAACTGTAAGTGCAAATTTGAGTAGCATCACAGAATTACTGCCGAGGGCGAAAGGTGCAAAGGCAAAGGCTGGAACTGTACTGCAGAACGCCAAGGACGCAGTGTTGAAAGCAGAAGAGGCGCTAAAATTGTTTGGTTGGGCGGAGGCGAATGCAACAGATGCGGATCTGTACGTCAAGGATGCAGTGGGGGCTGCAAAGGCAAGAGTGACGGCTGCCAGGACATTGGCTGATACTTGCCTTCTTCACGCGGAGAGGGCATACAATGCATCGCTGGCGGTTGAGAAATCAGTGACCGAGATAAATACAGCGGCGCAGGAGTCTATCAGCGTGGCAAAAACACTTGATAAAAACGGAAATAAGGTAGAGGCAAATGAAAAGCTGCGTGATGCGTGGAAAAAAGCGAGGAAAGCTCATAAAGACATTTTTCTCTCATTATCGCTTTTCAGAGATGTACAACACTTTGGTGTAGACGCCGCGGAGACTTCCGTGAAAGAAATATCCTCCATTTTTGCTCAACTAGAGAGCGCGACAAGTACTCTGAAACAAAGTGGGACTTCGCGGTTAAGAGCTGACGCTGCGCTGAAGGAAGTAATGCGGGCATTGGAGCAGCTTCAGGGAGAGGCACAGAAGTTGGGCCTTCCGGATGGTAAACAGATTGAAGAGAAGCAGTCTAAACACGATGCAGAAAAGAAGGAGAAGTCACACCCCTCCGCAACAGATGCCATCCCCGCCCATGCGCCTGCGCCGAACAACAACAACGTTGCGGACGGCAACAGTCTTCTTGCCCTTAAGAATGATGGCAGCAGTAGCAGTGCAACGAGACTGTGCCAACCGCTGATGCTCCTGCTGATGGCATATGTGGCTCTGTGGTAAGACTTGTGTGTGTGTGTCTCTGTGTGTTCATAGGACGATGATGCTCCCACCGTAATTGTGTTGAGTGCTGAGGACTGCACTCCTGATTGTTAAGATTCTTTTGTTTTCGTTTCATTGCTGCCCC